CAAAGGACCAATCTGAGGGCAAGCACTCATGCCACACTGAAGGAAGACATAAAAATTGCAAATGTTTTTATATTGTGTATTTTGGAGGGTACACTGCATCACAGCACATGTGTGGAGGTCACAGGGCAATTTGTGGGAGTTGGTTCTCCTATCATGTGGGTTTCAAGGATTGAACTGATGATTGTCAGGCTTGGTGGCAAGTGCCTTTACTAGCTGAGCCATCTTGCCAACCCCCAAAAGTGTAAATGTTTGTTAAACTAGGCAATTAGAAGGGTTCTTAGTAATGTGTATGTATGTATGTACGTATGTATGTATGTATGTATGTGTGTATGTATGTATGTATGCATATTCTTTCTCCCTTCCTCCCTTTCTCTCTTTCCAGATTGACTAGTTTAATTTATCTGCATAATTATACATAGTGTTTTTGCACAAGGGACTTGAAGCATATCAGGTATCAAACTAGAAACCATAAGAGAAATATTTTGAAAATCAATTATGAAACAAAAATCAGAGTCAAGGGAAATAAGGTAGAAGCAGAGAATCTGAGGAGAAAAGAGCATAGATATAGTATGCGTCACACACTTGACATGGAGCTTCCTGGCAGGCAAGGCAAAAGAATAATTGCCAAGTTGTCCAACCAAAGAAACATCTCTGGACGCAGCTTTTCTAGACCCTTAGTTGAACACACAGGGTGGCTGTTCATAGGCCTGATCAGTTTCCTGCCAGCTCACCTGTGGAGCTCCTCAGTACAGCCTCTTCTTTGTAACCTCTGCTCTGTTTCAGGCATGATGAATCATTCCTTCCAGGACTCTGGCTCCCGTGGTATCCACGAAGAAGGAAAGCTCTATATTGTGGATTCCATAAATGATTTAAACAAACTCAACCTCTGTCCTGTCGAATCGCAGCATCTATTTTGTACGTATGGCCCTGGCAACTCTGCAGTTTTTCTGGCTTTTAGGCTTCCTAAAAGTATCAAGGCAGCCATAGATGTGAGGGTGTGGTAGGGGCGTGGTGGGAGTCACTGGGCGCCAAAAATCCTATGTGTTAATTAGGCAGTTTTGGGGGTGCTCCCAAGCCTTCGAAAGATTGTTTTTTGTTTTTTGTTCGTCTCCCTATAGCCCCAGCTGGCCTAGACCTTGCTATGTAGATCTGCCTCTGCTTCCCTAGTGCTGGGATTAAAGGTGTGTGCCACCATACCTGGCTTCACCTGTTTATATTTTTTTAAAAAATCATTAAAATTCTGTTGGGCAAAGTCAGCTCTATTTTCTACTTACCAAGTATCTACTGAAACAGGAGGGAGGGCAAAACAAAATCTGCTGAATACTAAATGTGCATCTTGCTCCCTGAGTGTTAGAAATGAGGCCTTTCAGGCCCTCTGAGCCCCATGGCTTCCAGTGTAACCTCTATCAGCCAAACACAGGTGTTGACTGCCCACTTGCCATTTGTTGCACATACAGTTAAAGCTTATGGTTCCAGTCTTACTGCCACCATTCTCCTGTCTTGTCTGTGTTCTTCCTTTTGTCAGTATCTCAATGGGTTCAAATCCTCCCCCATTTTAATTTCACTCAGTGTCATAGAAGTAGGTATTGGGTGCCAGCCTTTGTTATTGCTTTATTAGGAAGGAAAAACTGTCTGATGTGTAACTTGGGATGCACTCGATTATATAATCAGGTAGCACAATGTGTGGGACCAATCCAAAGAGGAGAGTGCAAAATGTAATACAGTCATCTCCCTACTGAGGGTTTCATACTTTATCTTAAAATTTAATCTATTACTAGATACCTTTAACCCCAGCACTTAGGAGGCAGAAGCTGGTGGATCTCTTTGAGGCCTTACAAAGTGATTAATGATAGACAATTTCCAGTGCAAAACATTGACAAGAACCTTGTTTCTAGAGCAGAACTATCTTGAATAGCTTTTTATTTTTTAATTTTAAAAAAATTTATTTTTATTTATATGTATGAGTGTTTTGCCTGCATGTATGTAAGAGCATCTGTGTTGTGCAAAGCCCTCAGAGGCCTTAGCTGCCATGTGGGTGTTGGGAATTGAACCTGGATCCTCTGCAAGAGCAGCCAGTGCCCTTAACCACTGAGCCATCTCTCCAGCCCCTGTCATGAATAGCTTTAAGAAACTGAAATACCTCAGGGCCTCTTTTGTATAAATGAATGTAGGCATAAGTAGTTATTCTGAGTGGAAGGAATTTCCTGGGAGATACCCCAGAATTCAGTCGTCCACCCAGGGAAGCATAGTTCTCTCTGCCTTGTTCTTGGGTCACTTCAGAGAAGGGCAATAGAGCTCCATCATGCATTTCTGCTTCAAAGAAATCCATGCCTCAATACTCTAGGATGAACAGTCTTCAAAGACCCTTCAGACGGATCCAAGGACATAGCTCAAGCCTGCTCATTCTTTGAATTCCAATATAGAAGGTAAACAATTCCAGAATTTTTCCCAGTCCAGAGACATTCCTAACACAGAAGTCACTTTCCTGGGCTATCCAGGGAACATGAGTGTGCCCATCACTCATCTCTCACACAGTGGACTGCAGTGCATTCTGCCAATAGCCTGTGTGCTGAGGACACTCTATCATTGTTATTTCCTATTAGGTCTAGAGGGGAAAATCCCAGACCTTGGCACGAACCCAGGAAACGGAAGCCGGAGTCTGTTTTTTGTGGGGCTGCTCGTTGTGCTGACTGTCAGCCTGGCACTGGTTTTCTTCTCGATCTTCCTTATAAGTAAGTACCTCTGGCAGTTTTGTCACTACTTCTGTGTGCTTACTTCATAGCTGGTTTCCGAAGCTGTTGTTTAACATTGCTCCTGGAAGGAGTTAGTGCTTCTTCAGCATCAGAATTTCCAGGAAAACGCAGAGGGAGAAGCCATGCCCCAAGCCCAAGTGCATGCAGCCTTGTTCAAGGACTGGGTCTTAGGGCACAAGCCCACTGCATGCTCCCACAGTGCCAGGTCACATTTCTGTTAAATATTCATGTAGGACTTTAATTTTTCACTTGGAGCCCCTGCTGCCAAATCATAGACTGCTTATTCTAGTTAATTTTAAGCTTTCTTTACCCAATATAAAGATACCTCCATCAGTTCAGACTTATATAGTCACATCAAGTTTCAAACTGCCCTGGAAGGTTTTCTCATTGGCATATGATCCCAGAAATCAATCCAGAGCACATGGGCTCTGACTAAATGCCAGAAGTAGTGTTGGGATGTGAAGGCGGGCACCTCCCTTGTTGGTCACTACCCGGGCTGACTCTTGCTCTTGCTCCTGCTAGGAACTGCTTGTGGCCTGGGTGATGTATGTCATTCCCTTAAGTGGCTTTCCCACACCTGCTCCTCAGCCTAGAGGCCCCTATCTGCTGAGGCTCCAAAGCCTGTCTGCTTTGGACATCAGGGGAAGCACTATCTGCAATGCTGCCTCTTTCTGTGTATGGCCCCTTCATCAGCTTTCTCTCTCAGATGACCCCCTATACTATTACCTGGAAATGTTTGCTTTCTCTCCCTTACTACATTTCTGGAGCTGGAAAGTGGGCAAGGCAGTCGTCTTTGACACTATTTTGCCTGAAAACCTGGATCTTCTATCCGTCATTTCTGTTGTTCTTTCATAAGCATCTGGTGACTTTTTTTTTGATCTAAGGTCTCACTACACATCAGGCTGACCTTGAACTTGGGTTCCTCTTGCCTCAGTCTCCTGAGTGCTGGGATTATAGGCCTATGCCATCCTGCCTGGCTTAGCTTTCAGCAGTTTTAAAGAAGTTCAGTTCCATGTCTTTGCAATGCCTCTAATTTAAGCTCATAAGTTCATTGCGATGCCTTTAATTTAATTAAGTTCAGTAGAAGCCCTAGAGGTGGTGGTGATGAGAGCAGAGAGAGGAAGAGATGCATGATTCCTGTGCTTCATCTAACCTCTTTTCTTTCTCAAAAACTCCTTTCAGCCTACAGACCTTTAGCGTCTGGGGCTGGGCTGGCAGGGAGGAGTGTTGTGTGACTTGTCCTGTGGAGACATGAACAGATAGGGTACCATGACAGACCAAAGAAATGACTACTCCCAAGTCTAGCTTGGTGAACCAGTGTGTTCGTTGGGCTTTCTTATATTACCACACATTAGGGATGACTTACAGGAGCATGGATTACTCAAAGACAGCTGAACCCTTCCCCCAGCCAGCCTGGGTGACTATACCCAAAAGCTGCATCTCTGGAATTTCCTGTACAATTTGCAGACAGCTCCACCAGACAGTCTCTTCTTCCCAGCAATTGTTGACTGCTTCTGCTTTGGGGAGGAGCTTTCTGAAGTTTGTAACTTGCTGAGTTTCCTGAGCCTTTTTAATTATTGTTAGTTTCTTGAATCTTATGAGTCTCTCTCTTCCCTCTAGAAAAGCATATTTCAATTTGGAGGAAATAACTACATTATATTCCATTCCTTCCTCTAGTTCCTCTCCCTCCTTTTTTAAAAAATTTATCATTTTTATTTTATGTGTATGTGTGTATTGCTTGCATGTATGTGAGTGCATCTGTGTCGTGCCTGCAGAGGACAGAAGAGACTGTCGGATCCTCTGGAACTGGAGTTACAGACAGTTAGCTGCCATGTGGGTTCTGGGATTCGAATCTGGCTCTTCTGCAAGAACAGTCAGTGTTCTTAACTGCTGAGCCATCTCTCCAGCCCCCCTTCTCCCTTCTTTTTCTAATTGTGTGTATGTGTGTGTGTGTGTGTGTGTGTTGTGCCTGCAGAGGACAGAAGAGACTGTCGGATCCTCTGGAACTGGAATTACAGACAGTTAGCTGCCATGTGGGTTCTGGGATTCGAATCTGGCTCTTCTGCAAGAACAGTCAGTGTTCTTAACCGCTGAGCCATCTCTCCAGCCCCCCTTCTCCCTTCTTTTTCTAATTGTGTGTATGTGTGTGTGTGTGTGTGTGTGTGTGTGTGTCTGTGCATGCACGTGTGCACATATGTGCAGGTGCCCATGGAGGCCAGAAGAAAGCAATTGAATCCCTTGGAACTGGAGTTCCCAGCATGGGTGCTGGGAACCAAACTTGGGTCCTCTGCAAGAGCAGCAAGCACTCTTAACCACTGAGCCATCTTGTCAGCCTCCAAGCTCCTACTCCTCTTCCATGTTCCCTGAGCCTTGGAAGGGTGAATAGATGTTTGTTCACTTATCCCCATAAGTCTCACCACAAGAGATGATATTTAATTGCTTCTCTTTCACTCAACTTATGCCCTTTTTCACTTAGAAGTAACCATGGGAATTATCCTTACAGTAAATGTGAATTTGTACCCAGCTATCAATCAGGAAAGGGTTGACCATTGAACCGCCAGGGCCAAAACGAACATAGGTTTCTATTCTGAAATGTTATCCCAACATAAATGAATGTTGCTATCCCACCATACTTAATTTGGAGCAATGACCCAGTTAAACTAGTAAGAAACTTTAAGTATGTCTTCTAGACAACTGAACAACCCAAAAGAAATTCTCTCTTCTGTAGGGTAAGTGGAAAAGAAAAGAGAAATAACAAATGCTATAATATGAAGTATTTGGTCCTTGGCACCGTGCACATGATGGCTATTTGTCAAAAACCTTTCAACAGCTTAGTGTAGTACAGGATCTTTAAAAACAAAATTGTGTTTTGGATGATACTGGGGATTGAACCTAGGGCTTCGAACATACTAGGAAAGTCCTGTACTGCAGTCCTGTACTATTTTTACTTTTTATTTTGAGATAGGGACTCACTGAGTTGCCTTAAATTCACTGATAAGCCCAGGCAGGCCTTGAACTGTTGATCTTCCTGCCTCAGTAGCTGGAATTACAGGCCTATGTTATCAGGTCTGGCTAGGTTTTGTTATTATTCTGAGTTTACTGCTGATGAAACTGAAGTCTCATATGCCCAAAGTGATATAGCTAATAGGGGCCAATTCAGGGCTCACAGATATGGCATCAACAAACAAGGCAGGGCATCAGCATCACTATTCCTCTTTTAAAATAGGATTTGTTAGAGCCAGGCCTGGTGGCACAGGCCTGTAATCCCAGCACTTGGGAGCTCATGATCATCCTTGACTACATAGTAAGTTTAAGGTCAGTCTGGGCTACATGAGACCTTGTCTCAAAAAAAAAAAAAAAAATCCCATAAAATTAAAACAAAAAGGGATTTGTTTGATATTTGCCTCAAATATTTGTCTTTTCTTTTGTTCTACTTTTTTTGAGACAAGTCTTATTATGTAGCTCAGTCTGACCTGGAATTTGTAAGCTACTTCCCTCTGCCACCTGAATACTGGAATTAGAGTTGTGGATCAACATGGTCTGCTCAAGTGTTTTATACTGAGGACAAAATCATATTGGATAAGAAAAGAAAGATGAGGTGAGGAGATGTCCTGAATGGGAGCAGTTACTTGATAGTAACTGTCCTGAATGTGTGCTCGACTATGCCAACTGTCCTGAATGGGAGCAGTCACTTGATAGTAACTGCACATAGTGAAACCCCATATCACCCCTCCCACTGAAAAAAATCATCTTTTTAATTGTACAATTTCCCTGGGCCAGACATATTGATCTCATTATCTTGTGTGTCTCTATGTGTGTGTCTGTGTGCGTGCATGTTCATTTGTGCAGGGGCCAGAGGCTGGGTATCTTCCTCAATGGCCCTCCACCTTATTTTTTGAGACAAAGTCTGGCCTGGAGCTCTATGAGTCATCTAGACTAGTTGGCCCCAGGGTGTCTTCCTGTCACCACCTTCCCAACTCTGGGATTGCAGGTGTGTGCTGCCTCACCTGGCTTTTTTTTTTTTTTTTCACCTGGGTGCTGGGAATCTTGTTTTTTTTTTTAAGGAAGTAAGCACTTTACTGACTGAGCCATCTCCTTAGCCCCCACACTCATGTTAAGTCCTTTCTCATCAAAATGCTGTCTACTGTCATTTTACTAGTGAAAGCCATGTTTACCTGGCTTATCAAATCTGAGATTCAACCAGTGAGCTCCACGGCCTCCATTAAGGAAGAGGAACAAAACCTGCATGTACTTTCTGAGCCCCTTATTCCAGCCTAAGAGAGTAAACACAGGTATCTGTATGAACTGGACCTGCGCTCACTTTTAACAGGGAAGTCAGTTTGTTCTTAGTGCAAATGGGTTTGTTAACTGAAGTTCAAGAACTCTTCTTTACAACAGTGGCATTTATACACAAAAGAACATAAGTTAATCTTCTTAAATGACAGGTTTTTAATTTTGTCAGTCTCCGTGCTGAAGAGGAATACTGGGTTGCAAGGACAGATTCCTTTGGATGGTGATCTGCTCAGGTAGCAGCTTCACATGGCCAAGCCATGTAGTCTACAGAACGTGCATTCCCAGGGAGGACAAGTCTTTTTTCTTTTTTTGCCTTAAAGAAAAAAGGGGCTTGGTATTCAAATGACTGGAAACTGTTGGTCTAGACAAAGTTTGGATGTTTCTTATCTCCTATGACTCTCCAAGGGGCTGACAGGTATATACTTTTGCTCTTTCTTAGACATTTAACAGTATCTTTTCACAGAGTTTATTTGGGGACCAGTGTATGGTTAAAGCACTTTTTTCTCAGTTTGTAGGAGGGTACCAGGAGGAGAAACGATTGTATATGTCATAAGTTTACCTCAGTTCCGCATTATTTCAGAAAAGCAAGTGGTGCTTGGTTCAGCAGCAAAGCTCAGTTAAGACCCTGCTGTCTCTCCTTGAACCAGATTTGATCCAATGTAAACTTTCAGACACGAGGGAAAAATAGCTGCTGGGCAGCCAGTTTGTCTCTAGGCTAGGAGGTGAACCTCTAACATTTAGTTTGCCTTCCTGTGTTAGTGATTAGCTCTGGCCAGGGTTATGGTATCAATAGCTCTAGCTCATGAAAGATACCTTTAAAAAAATCTTGCCTGTAATGGAAGTGATAAGGAGCTCAAGTGCAAAGTACTGAACTTGGGCCACATTTCTTGGAAAATTTAACTGTGATGGACAGACCTCAGAGGGCTCCCTTGCCTCGCTTACTGCACTACCAAGGATTCTGTTTATTGGGGAAACAATGTCTTTCTTTCTTTCTTTCTTTCTTTCTTTCTTTCTTTCTTTCTTTCTTTCTTTCTTTCTTTCTTTCTTTTCTTCTTTCTTTTTGAGACAGGGTCTTCCTGTAGCCCCAGCTGGCCTGGAACTTACTATGTAGTCCAGGCTGGCCTTGAACTCACAGAGATCTGCCTGTCTCTGCCTCCTGTGTGCTGGGGTAAAGGTGTGTGCCACCACATCTGACTTACATTTAGTTCTATTCTGAAGAGTGGCCTGAGGGGAATTTTTACATGTTCACTATAGGCTGATAGTTCAGAAACAGCAGGCATGTTAAAATACTGGAACCCAAAGAATGTCATTTTCCAAATAAGTGAAAGCCTATTTCTGAGAAAAGGTCTTGAAACAAGACAGTATGACAGTCACTTCTGGGGAACTAATCAGACACACTGGCAGTTCCCAGCACATCCTCAGCTAAAATTGATGTAGAGTTACCAGGTGTGGTCTAGCCTGGCACCAGGAGATTATAAACATAGTTACTTGCTATGCAACATCAGTCTTCACTAGTTTCTTTCTGGGTGTCTGGGATGCATGGCTGCTCCAACAGGAGACTTGCCAAGGGTGCCTCTCAGCACTCAGCCGAGCTCTGCTGGCTCCAATGTAATGGTCTATTTTCCATTTTGAAGTTCAAACTGGAAACAAGATGGATGAAGTGTCAAGAAGATTGACAGCTGAGGGAAAGGACATAGATGATCTTAAGAAAATCAACAACATGATTGTGAAGCGGCTAAACCAACTGGACTCTAAACAGAACTGAAGACAAGATTTTTCCACTGCTGGAGCAGACATCTGGAGCTTCCCATGGTTCTGAAAGTTCATGGGGTTGAGAACTGAGAAACTGCCCTCAGACAATAGATCTGATAGGTTAAATCAGTGGGATGGGGTAGCTCTAAGCAACTGCTTGAAGCTGTTGTACTTTGGGCAAATGGTTGTTAACAGAGGAGTTTGGAGATGACAGCCGGAAAGGGATGAACTTGACTCAGCCACGTTTACAAGTAACCAGATGTGTCAGCTTTGGTAGGATTAGGGTAGATGGGTGGATAGAGGAGAATCAACAGAAAGGAGAATTTGGCTGTTCATATGCAACTGTTCTTAGGAAACAAGCTTGGTCTTGAAGGAAGAATTTCAGCATGCCAGTGAGGGCTTTGAAGCCTCAGGCACCTGTACAGAGCCCTGTGTAAGCCTCAGGAATTCACTGAACTGTGTGGGTTGAGGGGAACCAGAGCCACCCTTTTCACTAGTGCTCATTCTTCTGCTCAGGTGATAACTTTGCCTCCATTTCCCCACCATCAGTGAAGCTCCAGAGAGCTGCTGTTTGGTGGTCGTTGAAGAAACATGGGTAGCAGTCAGGTGTGAATGGTGAGGCTGAGGGCCAACAGAGAAAGTCTAATAAATTCTACAGTCTGCTGAGCTCCTGCTTTGCAGTAATCACCTGATGCTAGAGAATCACGTGTGGAACAAGGTGATGCCTAGTTATATCTAATTACATAAGGCTTGCTAACTTGGTTTTGAAAAAAAAAAACAAACCCTCAGTACCTTGCTCATCAATTTAGAAGTCAGATAGGTTTGTGGCCCTTGTTAAAATACAGTGGGAAATTGTATACTTGGAATATTTCGAACCTTTCTTGTTTTAGAACAAAGAATAAGATTGTAGTATATGACATAAGATATGGTACAAAATAAATGACTTTAAATCACGTGTTTTGATTTAATAAAAACATTATACAAGTCAATTGAAGAGTGTATTGCAATTTCATCATTTTGGGGTGGTTCAAACATTTGAGCTTACCTTAGCTGTTTATTATATTCTTATTATTTGTTGTGACAAAAGTCACTTGTTAGGATTTATTGTGAAATTGTTTCAGAAACGTAGGATTAGATGCAATGACAACTAGAAAATACTCCTTTTTTGCTTACTCTTGTGCCTTTCCCCCTTCTATATAGCATACATTTTTTAATGAAAGTTTATTTTTGAGACAGGGTCTCACTATGTAGCCCTGGATGGTCTGGAACTCACTGTGTAGACCAGGCTGCCCTCAAACTCACACAAATCCACCTGCCTCTGCCTTCTGAGTGCTGGGATTAAAGGTGGGGGTCACCACACCCAGCACCATAGTGTATGCTTTTATGCTCAGTAATAAATGATCTTTATTCCAAAACATTATGATTTTTACAACATGAGCATTTGAAAACTCACTTCTCCCTCTTCAGTCCTACACTGTCTCCCCTTTATTGCACAGTTGGAGGCCTGGTGACCCCCCGGCACTCATAACCTGGAAAACACCCTGGCTCATGGTATTGGAGTCACAAATTAACAACTCCTGTTGATGTTTAAAAGTTTTGGCAGGGCCGGTGACATGGCTCAGAAGGCAAAGTTGTCACCAGAACTGATAATCTGAGTTTCAAGCTCTGGAACCCATATGGTAGACTTTAAAAACTAAGCCCCCAAAATTGTCCTTGGACCTCCACATGTGAGTGTGCATGTGGGGACACACACACACACACACACACACACACACACACACACACTGCCAAAAATATTTTTTGAAAAAAGGTACTGGCTAGCTGTATTCTGACAGCAATGAAGCATGGGTTTGGCAGTCTAACTTTCTGCTTCAAATCCTGGTGTCACTACTTACAGTGATTTTGAGAAAATTCCTTTGATTTTTTTATTAGTAAAATTGGATGATTATAAAATTTATTTCATTATATTATTGTGAAGCTTGAAAAGAAGTGATAAATATAAAGGAATTAAAACTGAAACAAAGTATAAATGCTAGTTAGTATTGTAGTAGTTACTGTTAAAAGTAATAGGGAATATTTATCTCTCCTCTCTTCCTGTTTAACCTTCCCTCCCCACCCTCCCTCCCCAATTAAAGTACCCCCATTTTCCCCATTTCACCCTTGATAATCTTGTGTCCTATGGTCCCCCCTCTCTTGAGCTCCTTCTTCCCCTTTACTCCCATAGCTCCTTGTATACTCCTCTCTCCTTCCCTCCCATTTAGATACCCCCATTTTACCCATTTCCCCATTGGTAACATCTGTCTCCCACTGTTCATCTCTCTAAGGCTCCTTCTTTTCCTTTATCCCCCTGGTTCCTTTCCATTTTCCTGGCTCCTGCAGTTACATCAGGATGTATACTCACATGTAAGGATTTGGTGCTAGGATCCATGAATGAGGCAGAACATACATCATTTGTTTTTCTGAGTCATGTTACTTCACTTAGTACAATAGTTTCTAGTTCCATCCATTTACCTGCAAATTTCATGATTTCATCTTTCTTTACCCCTGAGGAGAACTCCGTTGTGTAAGTACCATATTTTCATTGCCCACTCATCAATTGAGGGGCACTTAGGTTGCTTCCATTTCTTAGGTATTGTGAAAAGAGAAGCAACAAACATGGATGGTCTTTTCATCTGTGTCCCTCTCCCAATGTTGCCAGCTGAGACAGAAGTTTGGCAGATCTTCTGGTACAAGTTCAGTTGCTATGTACTTTCTCTTCTGCCATGAGGACCCTCTTTCAGACCCTCAAATTGTTTTGCCGTGGCAATTCCCTGTAGCAAGTCTGGCCCAGTCCTGAACACTACACTCTGCTGTGACACTTGGAGGTTATTGGAGTGTGGGGCTACCTGTAACTAGGAGGCCCCTGCCTCCTTGCGTATCTGAGCAGTAACTTTAACACCTGCTCAGATACACAAGGGTACTCGATACTTGTCCTTGGCTAATAGACCAGAGCTATGTGGTCAGGACTGTTGGTGCACACCAGTCTCCAAAGCCAATTTCTTGGGAGAGAACTAAGCAAACCAAGAGGTCTTAAAAAAACAAAAACAAAAACAAAAAAAACCCAAAACACTAAACAGTCACTTTCGTGCTAACAACAACTGGTGGGAAAGGGAAGAATTTTAGTGTGTGTGTCATTTGGACTCACTGGGGTGCCTTGGACTATATTACACCAGCATCAAGTTATAATCAAATTTTACTGCTTAGAAAGAAAGAATTAATGGAAAAAAAAAACTTTACTTGAATTTTATTCCAGCTTAAAATAATGACCCCATTTATCTTCAGCAGAGAAGAATGAGAGAAAGAAATTAAAAATAGAAAACTGTCTCCTCTGAGAATGAGTAAGAGAGGTGTGAAAAGGAGAAGGAGCCTTGGGGCTGCACTGTCTCCACAATCAGGTGTATATTAAAAATATAAAACATGGGGCTGGAGAAATGGCTTAGCAGTTGAGAGCATTAGCTACTGTTGCAGAGGATCTGGGTTTGAATCCCAGCACCCACATCACAGCTAACAACCATCCGTAACTCCAGTTCCAAGGGAATCTAACTCCCTCTTCTGACCTCTGTGGGCATTGCATGATATGGGCACACTTACACACATGCAGACAATACACTCAGACACATAAAATAAAAATAAAATATTAAAAAAAATAAAACATGCAAATGTTCTTTCTGGAACCTGTTACCACTTACTTTACTTGGTAAGTCTGTTTTCTTATTAAGTTTGTTTTCATAGAGAAAAACTACTGTGCTGGATAGCTTTAGTGTCAACTTGACACACCTGGGTTGAGGGAGCCGCGATCCGGGAATTGCCTCTATTGAACTGGCCTGTGGCCATGTCTGAGGGGCATCTTCTTGATGAGTGATGTGGGAGGGCCCAACCCACTGTGGGTGGTGCCACCCCTGGGCAGGTGGGACTGTGTTGCATAAGAAAGCAGGCTGAGCAGGAGCCAAGGGAGCAAGCCAGTAAGCAGCGTTCCTCCATGGCCTGTGCTCCAGCTCTTGCTTCCAGGTTCCTGCCCTGAGTTCCTACCTTGGGCTCCCTGATGAATTGTGACCTGGGAGATGTAAGCTGAATAAACCCTTTCCTCCCCAAGTTGGTAGTGGTCAGGGTATTTTGTCACAGCAATGAAGAACAAACTAAGACAATAATGAAAATTTACTTTTTATAAGATTCAAAATGAATTTTTAAAAAACAATGAAAAATAATCCAATGGAATTCTATTTAATGAATGTGTGTTGGGCATCTATGCTGTGCCAGGAATAGGCTGCCCTGTGCTGTCTGGAAGGAGACCACAGAGACTACAGGAAGAGGTAAGGAGCTCCTGGTTATGCAAATGAGAAAAGGTTATGGAACCTGCACTGACCTATGACCACGACCTGGAGACAGTGGTCCTCAGTCATCCACTGGAGCACCACCTGCAGGGCTCCACAAGACACAGGCCCTTGGACTTTCCCCTCAGAGACTTTGATGTAGCAGATTGGGAACTTGAATCTTATTTTATTATTTTAATATCTTTATTAATTCTTTGAGAGTTTTAAGAATGTATTTTAACCATATTCACTCCCATTCCCCCTGCAACTACTCCCAGATCCACCATCACCTCATTTCCCACCCCTCAACTTTGTGTCCTATTTTTATCTTACTTTTAAGAAGTAACCCATCAACTCCAACTTAAGCTGCCCATACACTCCTGGGTATGGAGCCATCCACTGGAGCCTGGTCCACATACCAGGGGCCTTTAATGAAAACTGACTCTCTCTCTCCCCTAGAAACCATCAAAGGATGGGAATTCCTGAACCCCTTCCCAATCTATGCTAGAAAGTTGATTGGCTTGATCTTGTGCAGGTCACGTGCAGACAACCACAGTTACTATGAATTCATGACTGTAGTGTTCTGTCATACCCAGAAGACACTGTTTTGCTCTGGTCCTCTCAGCTGTGTTCTTACAATCTTTCTACCCCACTTCTTCCACAATAGTCCCTGAACCTTGAGGAGGAAATGTGATATAAATGTCCTGTTTGTAACTGAGCACTTCACTGACTTATTTTCTGTACCAGTTGTGAGTTTCTGTATTAACCGCTGTCCTCACAAAGAAACTTCTTTGATGAAATCTGAGAACTTCACTAATCTATAGATAGAGAGATTGAGGGCAGTTTGATATTATGTACATTTAGCAAATAATAGCAGGTTCACCTTTGTGGCCTGTGAGTTCCCAAACCACAGGTTCTTGGACAGATATACAGTACCAGGCATGTGTTTCCTCCTATGGAAGAGGCCTAAAATATAACCAGAAATCATTGTGTGCCTCCATGACGTTCATGGCATTATTGTACCCATGAGCATTTCTTGTCATGCTGGTCATTATTGCAGTTCACAGGGCTCACAGCTGGGAAGACTGTTGATGACTTTTTTCTACCATCAACCATTTATCTGAAAATTTCATAAATCTATTTTTCTTTACTGATGAATAAAATTCCATTTTATACAGGTGCCACCTTTGTCATTCATTTATCAGCTGATGGACATCGAGGCTGTTTCCATGTCCTAGCTACTATGAATAGAGCAGCTACAAACATGGATGAGCATGTGTCTCTGTAGTAGGATATAGTCTCTGCGTCTATGCCCTAGTGATACAGTTGAGTCATATGGAAATCTATTTCTAGTTTCTGAAGAACTGCCACACTGATTTCCACAGTGGCTGCACCAACAGTATATGGGGATTCCCTGTTTTCTACATCA